CTCTCTCTTTCTTTCAGAAAAAAAAAAAAAAGTTAATGAGTTAACTTTCAAGAAAAAGAATGTAAGCCCTCTGGTGCCTATTTCCTATGGCCCCAAAAAGAGAGCAAAAGGAAAAGCTGGTAACAAAAGAGAGGAGGACAGATCAGCTTATAATGAATAATAAGAGCAAACACATACCAGAGCACTTAGTATGTGTCAAAGTCTTTCTGCACATTATCTCAATTTATCCCCAGCAACCTCCTGTGGCAGGGATGATTATAATAACATGCATTTGATGGGAAAGGAAACAAAAACTCTGCAAGCTCCAGTGCAATGGTAAAGCAAAGTGGTTGTGGTTAAGACCATGGACTCAGAAGTCAGACTGCACGCAATTGAATCTCAGTTCTGCCATTTATGAGGTCTGACTTTGGCATGTTATGTAACCTCCTCTGCCTCCATTTATTTATACTTTCCTCATGAGGTGATTTTTTAAGGACTAAACAGTTATTCTACACAAAGAGCTTATAAAAGCTGCCATGTGTTTGCTCAAATTATTAAGTCATTTGTCTGAGGTCCAGTCAGGAAGTGGCAGTGCCAAAGACTGAAGGCCAACAATCTTGTTCCAGAGTCCCCACAGTTACGATTTACCTACTGTGAACAAGGTGGCCAACATTCTCTTAAAGCACATCATCCTTCACTGGGAGTTTCATGACACAAAGTTACCCTACTTGGAGTGTGTAGATGCCCTCTAGGCAGTCATTTAAGCAAACAATTTTCACCAGTCCCACTTTCATACACATTCACATACACAGGTTGATGCCAGGTCCTAAGTCCCCAGTGTATCACCAACATACAAAAAGAGCTGGAAACTATCTAAACTATCCAACTAAAGAAACAGGATCAACATAAGCTCATTTCCTCTTAAGTCAATCACAAAATACTTCCTACAGGGCTGACACCCCATTCCTGAGGCCACTTTCTACTGGGTATGGTTTGAGTCTCCAGCTATAAGCACACTTCAATAAGCACAGTCTGCCACCCCATAACCCTGTCTGCTGCCCTCCAGGCAGCCTCAAACAGCTACAAACATGTTAAATCTGCAGAAACCTTGGATTTCAGGCCTCGCCTTGGATTTTGATGTATGTCCAGATTGGAAGCCTAGCTTAAGGGAAAGAAAGTCAATCCTTCCAGCTGACACGGAATAAAGGAAATACAGGGCCTGTGAGCACTAGTCCAGACAGGAGCTTCCTTTTCTTCACTCAGCCTGATGCTAAACTCAGAGCCCTAATTACTGCATTCACATTCCAAGTGCCTTAATAATTTCAGGGCTGCCTCAAGCAGCAGGTGGAGCCAAACTATCTCCTCTGTGAGGTGCAATAAACTCCCAACGTGAAGCAATAGAATTTGAGGTTTAAGTCTCTAATTCTTCAAATGCTAAGTGAATAACCTTGGGCAAAGTGCTTCACTTCCTTCATCCCTAAAATGAGGATGACAACACCTACCTCATGGTACTGCTGGGAAGAGTAAATGAGGGCATGACATAGGGAAAAGAGCTCCTGGAATTTTTTAGTTTAGTTTCTATAGAAGAAAGTTCAGGTGGCTCATTGTATTAATCATGTTTTTTATTATCTTTATTTTATGGTGCCTTGCTATGTTGAGAGTTTTGATGGCTATGGAGAGACCACCCCTCCCAGGTTAGATAACTCCTACAGAGAGCAAGCAACTTGCCTTTGAGCACATGTTTTATGTTTGAGAACATCAAGAAACTCAGATCCAGAAGAGAAAGAAAAGAAAAGAGAAAAGAAAGAAAAAAAGAAAAGAAGAAAGAAAGGAAAAGAAAGAAAAGAAAAGAAACTCTGATCCCATATCCCCATTTATCTAATTCAAACACTGAGCCCTAAATCACCCCAGGACCAGGTACCAGAAAACCCGAGACCACCAAAATTATAGCCCAGAGCCTGCCAAAGTTATTCAGACCAGCCAATCTTAACCTTTTTACCATGTCTTGCCTTGCTTTTCCTAAAGAAACCACAGTAAAGTCTCAGGATCATGCTTTCCCCTCGCCTTTTCAGCTGCCTGACCTACCCTAGTGCATTCCTGTGTGGTCCTGCATGACATACGTACCCTTCCTCCTCTTGAAAACTGTAAGCAATAAACTCTTCTTACAATGACATTGACCTCTCCACGTCATCACTTGTCATCTCCATAAATTAAATCCCTGCACAATCAAAACACTCTTCTTATCTGAACTCAGACTACTCAGTATCAAAACTCAAAAAACAAACAACTTCAGAAAACTTGCTGTTCAAACTAGATTCCAAATAAATTTTACAAGGGATACTCATACTATGTACTCTAAGTCTTTAACATCTTAGGGTCAAAGATGCTGTTGGTGACCAGCAGCTATTTCCCCAAAGAAGTAGCACAAACTCCGCCAGTCAACGGAGCTACAAATGTGTGATGCTCCATACATAAATGTATATTTTCCCTGCTTCAAAAAAAATTATACTAGTTAAGCAAGAGGCATTTAACTTTCCCAGATATGTACTATATTATATACAGTCATACATGAAACTACCAAATAAATACTATATACTATCAAAGTTCAGAATGAAAGAAAGAACCAATAATGTAAACAGAAATCAATGGTGAGACAAGCTTAAAAGAAATGAGAATCTTCTAGGTCCATACCCAACTTTGAGGTTCACAACAACCAGGGAATAATCCCTTGAGGTATCTCTAAAAATTC